TACCGCCTGCACAGATTTTCCCTCAAGGGATCCTTAAAGGATTTAAATGTACTCATTCCAATTCGGGGTCGAAGGAGTCCCGTTTTTTTTTTTTTCGTCCTACCTCCCCGTGCCGGGGTGGGTTTTTCGCCCTTCCTTCCTTGGATTTCCCCTTTTTCTCATGCCCCCTCTCCAATGAACCCTACCCCCCGTTACCCGTTACAACCATGGTAGGCGCCCATCGAATTTATAGGGCAGCATTTTAAAACCGTCGCCGGGACAAGCCGTGCGATCAGCTCAAAGTTATGAAACCCGGACCCTTGACCGATTGGTTTTGATCTAATAAAAGCGCTCTTCCCGTGAGGTCGGGGCTTGGTATGTTTTCCTAAATTCCACAGTTATCCAAGTAGGATTGCCCTCTAATGAACCATAACTGATTTAATGAGATTCGCTTTTACTGTCAAGATTTTGTACTTAGACATCTGGCTTAGTTTTTTTAGACAAGCATATAAACTGGCAGGATCAACCAGATAACCCGGGCCCTCCGACCCGTGGCAACTTTTCCGATCACCGTCCACCTCGACGGGGGGCCTTTTATTCGTTGTCCCCTGGCCTTTTTACTCCGTCGTCGGGAGTCCGAGGGGACTTGGATGACCGACGCTACTAAAAACGGCCCCCCGCGTCTTGAAGGGGTTTGGGGGGAAGGCAACGGACCCCGGGGAACGGACCGCTGGACTCCCAAACCCCCCGGCCGCCCCCTCTTGCTTTCGGGGCCCCCCCCTGCCGACGGAGGTACCCCCTTCTCGAGGGGCGGTTTTTTGACCGAATGTCTTGTAACCCCCCTTAGATCCTTTCTGTTTTGATTTTTTCCCCACTGTGACCCGGTGGCCTCGGCGGGGCGTTGCCCCGCCCCCACTTGGCGCTGGGACCCCGACATTGACCTGGTGCACCATGTAAAAACATTTTCTGGGGCCCCCAATCCCCCTTTGGGTCACCATCCCTAGGTGTCCCACCCCCAAATTGGGGTCCCTAGCCCCCCGTAAGGGGTTTAAAAACGGACCCCGAAAAAATGAAGTTTTTTTCCGTGGAGACTTTGCGCAGACCCTGCGCAAACTTTCCCCCAAACCCCGGGCCGAATCCCAGTCGGGGGGGCGTGGCGAAAGAGCTTCCAAAATTTTCCCTCCGAGGCAGACTTTTTCCGGAGGGGGGGGCTCGCAGGGCTCTCTGGGTTTTTCCCCGATTCCACCGAATTAGTCGTTTTACGCACCTGGGTTACCGCAGAGCTCTCTGGCAACTTCCCCTCCGCAACCGAACTTAGTCGTTTTACCACCGTGGGGTTCCGCAGGTTTCCCTCCAAATTTTTCCTCCAAGCCAGCCCAACTTTCGTTTTAGACCGGGGGTTACCGCAAGCCTCGCGAAAATTTTCCCCCCGTAGACAACTTGAACCAGGGAGGAGCCAACCTTCTGCGCAAACTTTCCCCCCCAAAGTAAGACCAATTTTTGTTCAGCAAGGTAGCGGGCCCCTTTGCGCAAATTTTCCCCTCCAAGTCAGACCGAACTTTTTTTCAAACCATTGGCGGGGCCTTTTCCCAAATTTCCCCTAGACCAGAGAATTATTTTTAGCCCGGGTATTTTTCCGAGGTTCCCCAAATTTTAAAATTACACTTTCTACCCCTGGGGTTGAACAAAATTATTGAAATTTTCAGATTTACCTTTAATGTTCCCGGGATACTTTTTATTGATATGGTTTTCTCCTATAATGAAATATTTAAAAAGGAAAAACAATTTTGACCTTGATATTTAAATAAAAGGTCATCAAATTATTTTTTAAAAAAACACAGTTTTTGAGTCTAAATAATTAATATTTTAAAAAAAAGGATATACAATGTTTCTAATTGTATTCTAAAAAATTTAAAATGTTTTAAATTGTCCAACACTTACTTTGACAAAATACAAGTCGCAACAAAAAATAAAAATTAAGGGTTTTTAATATGTCGCGACTTTTTATTTTTGCCATAAAATTTTTGGAAAAATTAAAAAATGAAACTATACCACTATATATTTGTAGGTATACGGTAGGTATTCTTATAAAAAAAAAAAACTGTAAATGAATTTTCTTAAATCTGGGGTTAGAAATTAAAATTTTAACTTAAATAAAAGTGAACCTAATGCATTTATTTTGAACAAAAAGAAAATTTCGATGAATTAACTAAATATTTTTATTCTAATTCGCAATACTTAGTTAGTCGTTGTGCAACAAAGCAAGGACCAATTAATGATTTTGACTTGGACTCCCGATGGCCTTTTTTTTGGCGATTAGCATCAATTTGAAATTTTTTGCTTTTTGTGGGGAGGTTTATTAGCAAAGGAAAATTTAAAACTTATTTTTTTATTCTTTATTTTAAAGAAATAAAAGGAATTTTTCTTGGACTTAGAAATTTTCACCTTAAATGCAGCCTCCTCTGAGCAGAGGTCATTTGGAGTGAAGCTGTAAAATTTTTTTTTCCCTTTTAGTTATTCATATTAATTAAAGTAGATTTTCCTCTAATACCAAATATAAATTGAATAATAAACAAATATCAGCCAAAAAAATTAAAAATTGTCTGGGGTTTGAAAGTGTAAAATGAAACAAAAATCAATTTTTGAACTTTATGTCCTTATCTAATAGAAAATAATAGAAAATGCATTGATTAATCAAAATATAACATCTTTATAATTGTTCGCAACCTGAATTTGTAAAAAAAATGTCGCAATGAATTAATGGAATTAAGTGATTTACCCTGTCGCCTCCAATGGGGGTTATTTTTTTGGTCGAAAATATTTTTAAATTAAAATTTAGTTTATTAAACAATGAAATAGTTTTTCTACTTAAAATCCCTTATTTTTAAAAAAAAGGGGGGAAATTTTATTTTTTTTAGGTTTAAAAAAATTTACCAAAATGCTGCTTACCCTAAGCAGAGGATTAAAAGATAACTGAGAAAATTATAATTTTGATTATTTAACTTGAATTAAAGTATATTTTTTCCCAAAACATTTCTTTCATACTATTTATAAATGGGCCCCCAAAAAAAAAAATGTCACAAATATTTTTTACAATTTACACTTTTGGTTTTTCCCTACTCAGTAAATAGGCCCCAAGGTCTTAGAAAAGCTCAGTTTTTGTTTTTCACCTAAAAATTCCCTGGGATGACCTACCTCTATATTTGACCTTCCCAAACCAAAACCATTCCTCTTTACTGTTAAAAAATTATAAAAAAATTTGGGGTAGGGTTTTGCAAGGGGTAGGGTAACGTTAGGGTGTTAGGTTTGGGTTAGAATACAATTTTTACTGTGTGTTAGACTGGCAGGGTTGGGAGGGAGGGGTGGGCTGGGTTAGGGTTTAGGGTTGGGTTGGGTTAGGGTAGGGTTTGGGTTTTAGGGTTATTAGGGGTTTGGGGTTTGGGGTTTGGGGTTTGGGGTTTGGGGTTTGGGGTTTGGGGTTTGGGGTTTGGGGTTTGGGGTTTGGGGTTTGGGGTTTGGGGTTTGGGTTTTTAATTAGGGTAAGGGTTAAAGGGTTAGGGTTTTAAAGGGTTTGGGTTTGTGTAAGGAGGTTAGGTTAGGTTTGGGTTAGGGGTTAGGGGATTAGGGGTTGACTAGGGGTAGGGTTTAATTTGACTAGGGTTGGGTTGGGTTTTAGGGTTAGGGTTAAAGGGGTTTGGGTTAAGGGTTAAAGGGGTTTGGGTTAGGGGTTTGGGTTAGGGTTAGGGTTAGGGTTAGGGTTAGGGTTAGGGTTGGGTTTTAAAGGCTAGGATTATTTTACTAGGGTTATTAGGGTTGGGGTTAAAACCTGGCCCTACCCCTAATTCAATTCTTTAAACCCCAACCCTAAAACCTACCCTAACCCTAACCCTAACCCTAACCCTAACCCTAACGCTAACCCTAACCCTAACCCTAACCCTAGCAGGCTAACCCTAACCCTAACCCTTGCAGCCTTTCCCTAACCCTATCCCTTACCCTAGCCCTAACCCTCAAACTTACAGCCTAAACCCCAAATCATATCCTAACCCTAGCCCTAACTCTTACCCGAATCTTAACCCTTACCTAATACTAGAAGCTCTAGGGTTAGATTTCTAGGGTTAGGCTGAGGTTAGAGTTAGGGTTAGGGTTAAGCTGCAAGGGTTACACTTAGGATTACGTGGTGAAGGGTTTGCATTAGGGGTTAAGGTTAGCCCTGTAGGGCTAGGTTAGGGTTAATGCTACGCTTGAAGTGTTAGGGTTAGCATTAGGGTTAGGTTTTAGTGAGTCAAAGTTGCCATTAGGGTTGGGAACGTTTTACTGCAAGGGTTGGGGGGGTTAAGGGGGCTTTTTTGGGTTAGTCTGCGGCTGAGGATAAGAATTAAGTTGTTTGGGATAGCATTTAAAAGCTAGCTTACAGCTTAACCCTAACCCTTATGCTTATCCTTTTAGGACTTAACTCAGCTCTAACCCTAACCCTAATGCCAACCTTAATGCCAACTCTTTGCCACTTGAGGGTTAGGGTAAGCGTTAGGATCTGCTATTTAGAGAAGAAATAAAAACCCCCGACACCCAGGGGGCCAAGGAAGATATGCTAGAAAAGAAAAAAAAAAAAAAAAAAAAAAAAAAAACCACCACCACCGGCGGACCGGTGGCAGAGGCGCAATGAAATTAAAATAAGTCCAAGCTATAAGCAAATATAGACGTAAGTCCAAAAAAGACTTTGTCCAAATAAAAAAGCCTCCCCACCCGGGGGACCGGTGGCAGAGGCTAAAAGAAGTCTTTTTTTCAGTGAAAAAAAGTAAAAAGATGTCTTTTTTTACCATAAACTCGTCGACATTCCCGCCGTTGGGGAAGCCTCTCCCCCTCCGTCACTCTTTGCGTGTCTCAGTGTTTTACGCACATCTGCGACCGCCCAACAACCTGCACTCTGGCAACAAATGGCAGATCCCCATGCTTAGCGACTTGTTAGTGTGTGTCGCCCCAAGCCTGCGACCGTCTCTCTGCGAGATGCCCCTCTGAAGCGG